GTGCTGCAGTTAAAGTGATGGTTTGCAGGCTTGTGTGATACCATCCATGTTCGCCCAGCTGGCTCACTCTGATAAGCCTCTTAAACAACCTCTTCTCTCTTGGAAACTTGATAGAGTTGGCGTCTGATTACTTTACAGAGGGATCCACCTCTGGGAGGTGAATTTTAAAAGAGGGACTAATTATGAAATTCAAGGATGGATCTGTTCAGTTGCAATTCCATGTGTTAAACCAGTAAACAGGTAGCACGGGAACTGCATTTCGGTCCCCTAATTTGGAGTACATTTATAATCCCCAGAAAGTCTATATTGGGATCACTCTGCTGTATTCCCGTACCTACTTTGCAGCACAGTTTATTGTCTTGCAAATTTTAAATCAAATATTCAGAGAGAAAAAATTGTCAGAGGGGCCGAGGAAAGTATTCTACTCCTTTTTGAGTAGCTGAAAGTTTTGGCTTTTTTAATAGCAAAATGTTCCATCTTTTTTTCTTGCAGCTGATGTGATTGTGTGATGTATACAGTTTGGTTCCAAAAAAACAAAAAACTTTCCAAAGTTCCATCTATTAATTGTACTTTTCCTCTCCCTTTCTTTAATTATATATTTAAATTGTCTACTTCTTCCTTCAGACTGACGATACTTCGTTATTATTACCCAAAAATAAGACATTTCCTGATAATAAGCCCAATCGGGCTTTTGAGCGCATGGCAATTATTTCAGTTATTTCAGGGTTCAAAAAAATATAAGACAGGGTCTTATATTCAGGGAAACCCGGTATTAAAAATTGCTCCCACTTCCAAACTTTTATCCTCACCAGTGGGTTACTGGATGGTCATCTGGTTGATAGACATGTCGAAAATCTATGACTCTATCTGAATAGAGATAAGCAAACTATGCCTACCAGATGTTGCAAATGGTACATTTCACCAATATAAGCTAGGCTGCACAATAATCAGAGGATAATGAAAGTTTCAGACTCACAGCAAAAAGTACTTCAATTATACAACCTTACCTTTGTGCTTTCTATAGAATGACTAATAACTCAGACTTTCCCTCAAATAAAAAGGAAGGGAAAATTTCTACCAGTGTACACATGAGATCATAACCTATAATTACATGTTTAAAGGTTCTCTAGGAATGCATCAAACTAATGAGAAACTAATAACAAGATAAATCTGCTTTAGGATTCGGCATTTATCCAGAGAAAAATACACAGTTGTTCTCTCTTAAGTTACCATTGCCAGTATCCAGATGGATAATCTTTAATTTTTCAAGAATACAAAGAGCACTTTAGGGAAGCTGAAACCCTCAACAAGGGAGTCATGAAAAATAAATACACAAAAATTCAGAAAATGATTATATAGAACCTCCACCAAAGTCAAATACTTCGGGGAAATACTTGTATTTTTAATGTTAAGTCTGTACCAAATGCGCTCCATGTTAGATGTTTCAAAGTGAAACTTTTTTAATTTAATGGAATTGAATTATCTTTCAAGAAATAGCAATAGCAAAAAAGGTCTTGAATTTTAATAGAGGCCTACCCATTCTAACATTTTTTGGTGGGGGCTAATGACACTAATTAAAATGTATTTACCTTTTTTGCTGGATGATACATTATTCAAATTTTGCAATACATTTTGTTGAAAAATGTTCCTCAGAACTGAGGCACATTGAATATATATTGAAGTTTAAAAGTTCTCTGAAGAAGTCTGTGAAAAGCATCTACAAAGATGCATTAGGCCTCTGCAAGATGATTCAGATTTCTTTCCCAGAACAAAATTGTACTGGGGAGGCACAGTGATGCCTTTTCATTGAATCACAAAAGCAACATGATTTGGTTTGATCAAGTTTCTCCCTGTCTTCTCTCTACCATTAACTAAAAGCCAAGTCTGCTCTTAAATTTTGGTGAATGGCATATTACCAAAGGTAGAGAGAGATGTTCTTCAGCCCATCTGAAACTAGATCAGAAAAAGTATTGCTTAGCCAATATTAACCTGGCAGGTAGACCTATTGGTCAAGATTTTTTTTTAACCTTACCTTTATTATTTTTATAGCTAACTCAAGGCAGCAAGCAACAACAAACTTGTGAGATGGGTTTGGCTGAGACATTGACTGACCCAAAGTCATTCAGCTAGCTTGCATGCGTAAGGTAGGACTAGAACTCACAGTCCCCTGCTGATTGGCCCAAAGTCATCAGCCTGCTTTCATGTCTAAGGTGGGACTTGTACTCAGAGTTTTCTGGGTTCTAGCCAGGTGCCTTAACCACTAATGTATCTTCAGCACTGTTCACTGAAAGCTTTGGGAAGATAAGGTACCAGTGGTGGGTTACCTCTGGTTCGGTCTGGTCTGGTTCTATAGAACCGGTAGTAAAAATGGCAGGAGGCTCCACCCACCCACCACAACATCATCATGGGTGATCTGTGCATACGCAGAAGCTCGTGCGCTCCTGTTCCAAACTGGTAGTAAAGGTAAGTAGAACCCACCCTTGTAAGGTACCCTAAGCTAAGCAAAACAGCATGATTACTTCACTATTTAAAACAAGAGCTCTAAATTGCATGTAGTAATGAAAATAATATAGATTAGCCAAATCCATTAGGAAAAAAATGCTTGCAAAATGTGTGTATGGGGACAGTTCTAGAAAGAAATGTGCATGAAAATACATAAAAATACAACCTTTTTGCTTCCACCCCTTCTAGCCCATACTTAAAGTCCTGAAAACAGGCCAAATAGAACCTACAGTAGTGGCCAAAATTGTGGAAACCTTTTGGGAAAAGTGTATTTTCTAAAACTAGCTAATAACACCACTTTTTTGGGAGTAGTACCATAAAATTATATATCAATGGAAGATAATTTAATCAAGAATGTAATGCAATAACTTTTATGAAGAATTTGCTAGTACAGTATACAGTATAAAGAAGAAAAGTGACACGTAGAAAAAACGAGATATACAAAAAAGATCACTATGTCAGTTAATACTTCGCTGGGTAACCTTTAGCATGAATTATGGCCTTCCAATGTCTTCCCATGGAGTGAACCAAGTTTTTTTTTTAGTTCTGCAGCTGTTATAATGTGAAACCAAAGTTGAAGGATTGCTTCTATTAACTGGGTTTAATTGCTGGGTCGCTTCTAACTAACAAGTTTCTTTAGTCGGCTCCATAGATTTTTCAATTGGGTTAAGGTCTGGGCTATTCCCAGACCATTCCAGCAGTGGAATATGATTATCTTGAAACTCCAAAAAAAGTGGTGTTATTAGCCATCAAACCTTAAAAATACACTTTTCCCAATTTCCACAATTTTGGCCACCACTGTAAGATAAATTGAAATTGAGTCCATTTGGTCTAGTGGTTAAGGCACCTGGCTGGAACCCAGGAATCTCTGAGTACAAGTCCCACCTTAGACATGAAAGTGGGCTGATGACTTTGGGCCAATCAGCAGGAGACTGTGAGTTCTAGTCCTACCTTATGCATGCAAGCTAGCTGAGTGACTTTGGGTCAGTCAATGTGTTTCAGCCAAACCCATCTCACAAATTTGTTGTTGTTTGCTGCCTTGAGTTATCTATAAAAATAATAAAGGTAAGATAAAAAAAAATCTTGACCAATAGGTCTACCTGCCAGGTTAATATTGGCTAAGCAATATTTTTTCTGATCTAGTTTCTACTGTTTGCATTTGCAAATTTTAGCCTGTATTAATTGCATGGAAAATCTCATTCAAAGAGAAATCAGGCAGGAAATGCAATAACTTACATGGGCAGCTGATTTTTTCCACAGGACAAAACCTGCTACATAATTAAACAAATTAGCTGCCTGATAATATTCAGCCAAGCATAGTTTAAATGAATAAAAGTACAAACCTACATACAATTCTTCAGAAGCATACCATTGTGTCTTACTCTCAAGTAAAGTACTAATAGGATTGCAGCCAAAATTACTGCTGGTTGTTTTTGTGGGGTGTTTTTTGGTCCAGGTAAGCTGATGTTAAAAAATACTATAAGTGAAGACTATTTTTCACTGCCAACAAATGCTTTGCAAATCAGATCAATAAATCAATCTGTGATAAGTTGTATAATTAAAGCCCTGAGTGGCAATCCATAATTCATTGCTTGGGATCCATTCTGTTCCATGGATAGTAAATTCAGGTCAGGATGTAGAGAATGCAAGCATCTTACAAAGATGTTTAAATTGTAACTCTTCATGCTCCATAGGAAATTACATTTTTAACCTGTAGAAAGTTTTAAAAAAAAGATAAAGGTTTTCCTACCCAGCCATGTCTGACTCTAGGGGGCAATGCTCTTTGCTGTTTCCTAGCCAACGGAGCCAGTATTGTCCAAAGATGCTTCCATGGTCATATGGCTGGCATGACCCTATTCTGAGATGCATGGAACACTGCTCCTTTCCCACCAAAGTGGTACCTATTTATCTACTTGCATTTGCATGCTTTTGAACTGCTAGGTTGGCAGGAGCTGAGGCAAGAACAGGAGCTCAACCAGTCACATGGTGCTTGGGTCTCAAACTGCTGGCCTTCAAGTCAACAAAGCACTTTAATCACTAGGCCATCACGCCCCCTACACAAAGTTGTTAGTCAACCACTATTGATAATACTCAGCCACATGGATCAATAATCAGATTTAGCACATGCATTATCTTATATTGGGCCATTGGGCCAGTCTTTAAACTCACCACATCACACAGGGCTTGGTTGTTGAACTGCCGACAGTCTGGTTGACAGCCCAGAAAGCCAGAGTCAAAAGCATGGGCATTGGGAAAGGATGACTATCTACGGTCTGGCAGAAGCCCAGTGTTGACTACTTGGTAATCTGATCCCATCAGAGAATTTTCCCAGAAAAAAATTGGATTAAGCAGAAGATAGAACGCCCTTCTACAATAGCAATAGCACTTAGACTTATATACCGCTTTACAGCCCTCTCTAAGCGGTTTACAGATAACTGAATCAGCTGGATTCATTAACTTCTTTATATTCATAATAACACATAAAGTAGTCACAATACCAATAGTTGATTCTTCAGCTCAGATCAGCAGACATGTTCACACACACAGAGTACAGTAGAGAGCTTAACACACACTGGTTTCAGTTTCTCTTTCTCTGTACAGAATCAGAAGCTGCAGACTAAGACACGCCCTGGCTCCAATCTGTCTCAGCTTCCAATTGGCTGACTTAGTTGCTATGCCTATTCATTGGCTGACCTTGTTACCATGTCTTCCCAGTCATGAATATTCTGACAAGCTCTTTTCTCAAGAGTGTCCAAGTTCAATAATTGGAGAATTGTGCTTGTGATCACTGTGTTTGTCTTGACATCCAGACACCTGGGGATACATGCACGCTGTCTTCATCTTCACACAATCTTGCCCGTAAACGAAGATTCATAGCTGTACCTATGTTTCCATTACTTAAGCTCAGGATGCTATCCTTAGCAAATATTATTCCCCTGAGTGGTTTGTCTAATGGACAAAGTGAGAGCAATGCCTAAACCCCAATCCCATTTAGACTGAAAAATGCGGCTTGACTTTTGAACAAGTGCTACTTTTAGCCTTAACCATTTCCACCAAAGTTATAAAATAATCAATGAGAAGAAAGATTAAGATATCAATGCTTTATTTTAGGATGGACTCAACACACAGTCCATCTGGTCTAATGACCAATTCCATTATCCAATTGCTTTAATGCTTCTCCAGTTTTGGAAAGGAAGCTCCTGCTAAAAAAATTAAAATAAATAAAAATAAAACAATGCAAGGTGCCAAAATAACACACAGTCCTATTTTTACGGCTCAAATAGTTTAGAAATAACAATAGTTTTTACTATTTCTCATTGTGCATAGAAATGTTGCAACTAATATTAACAACAGCAGAGAGGTACGGGCAGAAATAATTAGAAATGTGTGTTTTGAGAAACGTATTTGCAAATAGACAAAAGTAAATATTTAAAGGATATATCAGAGCTAATGAAAGTTGGAGAGACTATCCAAGAATGCCAGATGCTAAATACAACCTCAGGCTTTTTTACTGAAAGAAAGAAAAGATGTGAGCTAAACACTTTGACCTTGATTGATTATTTTCCTCATATCTAGACCCAAATAAAGATGTCATTAGGATATTTACATGTATATACCTAGGGCTAAGCCAAATCAAAGGCATGACAGGAACATTGAAAATTACAGACAACATCGAAATAGGTAGGAAATAAATTGGAGCTATGGTTCAATACTAGGGCATCTTCTTTGCTTGATGCCCTAGAATCGTGATGGCAAACCTATGGCATGGCCAACAGGTTGCAGAAAAAAATGCTTTGAAAAGCCTCTGACGATCCCAGCTGAGCCACACACTCATCAGAGGCTTTTTTTTTTACTTTTAAAAGCATTTTTTCAGCCGAAGAGGTTGTAGAAAAAAATGCTTTTAAAAGTAAAAAAAAAAAAAGCCTCACATGATCGTGCGGCTCAGCTGGGCATGGGGTGGGGTGGGGGTAGGAATTTTTGTTACCAGTTCTCCGAACCACCCGCCTCTATCACTACCGGATCGGGTGATATGGTCCAAACCAGGAGCATTTCATCCCTGATATGGTGACCAAGGCTGGATGCGGTATTCCAAGTGTGGTCTTACCAAGGCACTATAAAGCAGTACTAATATGTCATGTGTTCTTGATTCAATCCTTCTGTTAATGCAACCTAGGATTCTGTAGAGATTCTCAGTCATCCAGGTCATGGTTGTCCCAAAGGTGCTTTTTCCAGGCAGCAACTGGATTTTCTTGTTTTTTCTTTGAAGATGTTTCACTTCTCATTCAAGAAGCTTCTTCACAAAGCTTCTTGGATGAGAAGCGAAAACATCTTCAAAGAAAAAACACGAAAGCCCAGTTGCCTCCTGAAAAAGCACCTTTGGGGCAACCTAGGATTGTGTTGCTTTTTTTTTTTTTTTTTGGCTGCTGCCACACACTGCTGGCTCATATTTAAGTGTTTATCCACTAGGACTCCAAGATCCCTCTCACAGTTACTGCTATTGAGCAAGGTTTCACCTAATCTGTACCTGTACATTTGATTTTTCTTGCCTAAGTGTGAAACTTTACTTTTCTCTACACTGAATTTCATTTTGTATGTTTCAAGCTCCCCTATCTTGTTACCGGTGTAGCACTGACAGAAAAATTATTTCCCAAAATCAGAAGTCATAGGAACAAGGAGCAATTACTTAGAGCTCTTTTCAACATAACACAAAACCTCCTGATGGTAAGATCTCTACAGCTGTGGAACAGTCTACCTGTGGATATTTTTTACAAAGAGACTGAACAGTCACCTATTTTGGATGGATTAATTGGTTTTCTGGCATGTTTCCAAGAATTTTGTTCGATGATCTTTATGGTTCCGTTCAACTCTACAATTCCATTACTCTGTGATCTCCAGGATCACAGGAAAACTGGAAAAAAAAAACCAAAAAACCCTGATTCCTGCTTAAAATCCAGAAGAGTTACTTTCTATCAAGTCAACAGTCAGATTTATTATGGTCTTTGACCAGCCCTTACAGAAAAAAAATAAAAATAAGAGAGAGAGAGAGAGAGAGAGAGAGAGAGAGAGAGAGAGAGAGAGAGAGAGAGTGAGTGATTCAGTAATTTGGAAAATAAATCACTAGGACAATAAAATGGCATATCTAAGGTACGAGAATCTATCCTGATTTGATTTGATTTGACAGAATCAATAATATTGGGCTAGATGACTTGATGATTATAGTATCTGGCAATCTGCTGTGATGATACAGCTTTACCCAACTAAATGGCAGGAAATCTGGGGGGGAAATGGAATATCCATAATTACATACAAGAAAGACAATGCTGAACTGAAGATGATTTCCCCTCTCCAAAAAAAAAAAAAAAAAAGCTGATTACACTTTACTGCATTCTCAAAAAAAAATAAGATCCCTCCACTCTCCTCCATTTTAAAGGTAAATTATTTGGGGAGAAACTAATCTTCCTTACAGGCAACTATAACAGGTTTCCCCACAACACATAAATAAATCATGAAATGCATTTCTGTATCAACTGAATTAAGCGCCGGAAATGGAAGGCAAATACTAAAGATGATTCATCAGCTGGTAAGATTCCCAGATGAATCTGGTTGTCCTTAGCTTTAAGCAGAATATTGGGTAAGATTGGTGATTCATCTAATCCAACGTATTGGTACCAAACATTCTTATGAATGGTCACAATTTGCGCATTGAAAAAAATGTATGAGAAGAGTTTTTTAAAAAAACCTTACTGAATCCAATCAGCCCCAAAGCCCTTGCAATGTCCCTCAAAGCTGAAAAGTCTGGATCCTTGTGTGGATAAGAATATCCCCTGACTGGTACTTAGTGGATATATGGCTTCTTAAGTTGATTATGGGAATCTTGCCTGGAGAGGTTGATAAGACTGCTTTAGTCACCAAATTCAATTTGGTGCTAAGTAATAGCTGGGCACTCAGATAGTTTTGTTCAACTAATAAGCCAAAGCATCTGGATAATTAACTTACCTAACCTTTTATTCTGTGGATAAATGCAGGAGAAAACAATAAATAGCAATAATGTACATTTATTTAGCTTATTGCATTCTTGATGAATCCTGAAAGTTTTATTCACGGGGACAGAAAAACAAGGTGCATTGTTCCTTGCTGGAAGACAGTGTTGTTGGGATGGAACAAGCTGGTCATTCCATACCACCAGTGGTGGGATTCAGCCAGTTCACACCTATTTGGGAGAACCGGTTGTTAACTTTTTAAGCAGTTCGGAGAACCGGTTGTTGGAAGAAATCTGTGAGATTTAAAAAAACAGCAAACCTCATAAAAAGTGAAACAGAGACCATGAACAAGTAAAAAACAGATTTATTATATATATTATAAGTTTTTGCAAAAGGGTTCTCCCATAGAAGAGAGAGAACGTCTGACCACTTCGATTACATGGTTTAAATACAATTTTTGAGGTACAGCAATACAATGAAAATGCCGTCGCAGGGTATTGGAGTTCCCCTCCAAAAGTACCCTCCAAAAATACCCTTTACATATGTTTTCATTCTTATGGGTATTGTTCTCCTTAATTGATCATTAGGCTCTTCCTCTTTTTCAGTAGAGCTTAGGTCAGCCTCACCAACTCAAAATGTACCAAAACACCTATTTCCTCAAAACAAGCATCACAGTTCCCTTTTCCTTTCCAGAATATAATGTTTACTCATGTCCTGTTCACCGGGTTATATAAATCAGGTTATATGAAGGTTAAATATGGCGTTACTTTGGTTATGCTTTTTACAGGAATAATTCATTTTTCTCTCAAAATCTCATTTTGTTTTTTTCCACTTTACAGAGCTAATCCTGTAAGGAAGGCAGGAAGGAAATATTTTGGTGTTGTTTCTAGCCTAATCTTTATTGCCCTGCTTACAGAAACCGCCTCTCGGGTTAACCCTTATTACATTTTAACAGCTAAGGCGAAGCGCCCATTGGCGTGAGTGATGTTGAGTTGGCCACGCCCACATGGTCACATGACCACCGAGCCACACCTACCCAGCCGGTCATTAGGGCAGAGAACCAGTTGTTAAATTATTTGAATCCCACCACTGCATACCACTCATAATGATAAGAGCTCCTCTCTCCCTCTTGAGGGAGGCAGAGCTGAACAAATTACACTAGGTTGTTGTAACACTGAAATCAGTATTTAGACTCCTTCAGAAGTTCACTGTGGATCAGACAGAAAGTATCGGCAGAAGTTCAATACCCCATTTCTCTCAAAGCCCAAATAAATGTCACAGAACTCTAGAAATAGGATACGAGTAGAGTTCCCCTTTCTAAAAGTAGCAATTGAACTCTAAGACCTAGTGTCTCTGCTTCTGGAGGTAGTGGTGAAGGAATAGGCAGCTGGAGAAGAAGTATATGTGTGGTTTTTTTGGGGGGGGGCGGGAGGAATCTCAGCAATTGCACAGCGACTTCCCAGGGAAGAGGCAACACATTTCAGAGCGGGGTCCAAGACAAGAGGCTGCACGGTCTTGGATGGTGAAAGAAGAAAAAGGTTCAGAGTAGCCATGCCCTAGAATCTCTCAAGGTATATTT